TGGGGGGGGGGAGGGGTGGCCTTCCCTCCTCTGCTCCCTGAGAAGGAGTGAGGAAGTCGGGCTTCTACTCATGCCGAGTCTTGGATCCCGGGTCGTCTCTGGTCTGCAAAGTGCAGGATGAAGTTGTCCGCTCCTTGTCGGTTCCTGCTGGTGTTGAGTAGAATCCGCTCATCCGCTGCGTCTGGCTCCTTCGTCCCAGACTGTGTCTCAGGTGTGCCCCCGCGGCGGTGGTCACTGCCGCGACCCTGCATCTGCAGCAGCAGCTGCTGGCAGGCGCTCAGATGTGTCTGCTTGGCTTCCCCTCTCTTGACTAACTCTCTGTCCTGTGATGGCACACTTGGTGTGATTCTCTGGCTTGGGACTGTTCACTGGAACTCTGAAACTGTTTTCTATGCAAGAGCTTGTTCAGATTCCAGCTTCTCCTCCGCCATCTTCCTGGAACTCTCGCTGTACTACTTTTTAAGGTGCACATCTGCAAACATGTATGGAGAAGATTTCTTCTTGTATGAAGCCATATAATGTTGTCAATAAACCTTAAATATATTAGCTAATATGCATTCTGTCTTTCTAGTTGCTATGTATGTGAAGAGTAACTTTATAATATGTTTACAACAAAAGCAGTAGTATCTATACTGGAGCCTTCATTTCTATGCTATGATCTTGAACTGGTGGAGGTCTTGTCATACATTTCTCCAAGGATGTCACCATTTATGGGTCTCTCATTAAATCTCAAATCTGAGTTGGATTTTTATCAGGTGACTCAGATAGTATTTGATCATGCATTTCTGCCTGTGGCAATTACTTTATCTGAGTCAGGTTCAGACTTCGAAGTAGCTATCATTTGATTCATTTCGTCCTAGTCTTTATGAGTTCTTAGCATATTTGCATTCATTAGCATGACTTTTAACAAAGATTTTCAACTGACCAAAAGTAACCCATGGCTAACTGACTACTGCATCAACATCTTGCATACATACCTAAACCTGTGCAGTGATGGATGAAAAAGAGAAACAAAAATGGGATATTATTTTAATCGGGAAGTCTCCCTAAATACTCAAAGATCTAAAAACACAACTTCAATGTCTAAAATCCAAAAGCAGCAAATTCGAAGTGCAAATCCATAGGTGATGTGAAAGGAAAGGAATTGGAGATATTTTCTAAATGTAAGCACAAATAAGTCTATTTTTCACATTGTAAATAAAGCTTTCAGACTGGATAATTTTTTCATAAAACAATAATCTGCAACTTTGTAAGTGTAACCCTACCTTTAACTATTCTGTTGATTTTTTTGGTATTTTCAAAGTAAGATGACAAGTTCTTTTTTTAATAAGTTTTTTTATTGTGAGAATACTGTACAGAGGAGGGGTTACAGTTACAAGACCAAGGTAATGAGTACATTTCTTATCAAGCATTGTTGTTTCCTCCTTTGTTTTTCTCCTACCATCACTTCCCTCCCATCTCCATAACTTCACTCCCTGCCCACCCCCTCACCCCCTGCCTAAATTGTAAAGTTCATTTTTTTTTTTTTTAGGTCCGGTCCTGGGGCCTGAACTCTGGGCCTGGGCACTGTCCCTCAGTTCTTCAGCTCAAGGCTAGCACTCTACCACTTGAGCCACAGCGCCATTTCCAGCTTTTTTCTTTTTGCTTATGTGGTGCTGAAGAATTGAACCCAGGGCCTCAGGCATGCAAGGCAAGCGCTCTACCACTGAGCCACCTTCCCAGCCCAGTAAAGTTCATTTTTTGGCATAGCGTCTTGTACAACTCGTTGCAAAGGGTCAACCTGTACTCTTGTTTAAACAATTTGTTTTCCCTTCCCCTTCACAAATTATACCAACATCAAATACATAAAAAACAGGGGTTATACCATGGAGGAGGGACATACAAAGCAACAAAAAAATCATGAGGTGCCTTCTAAATACCTTAGATGCAATAGCAAGAAAAAAAACCATTTGTGTCCTTATCTTGGGGTTCATTTCGCTTAACATCATCTTATCTGACCTTTTCTCCTTGTCTCAGACATATACTAGATATTGCAAATAAGGGAAACCATGGGACCTATGTTTCTTTGGGCCTGGCTTACTTCACTTAATAGAAGTTTTTCCAAGTCTTTCCATTTCCTAACAAAAGGGCAATGTCATTCTTCCTGATGGAGGCAATAGAATTCTATTGTGTTTATATACTACATTTTCTTGATCCATTCATCTACTGAGGGACATCTGGCTTGCTTCCATATCTTAGCTATGGTAAATAATGCTGCAATAAACATAGTTGTGCTGGTAGCTTTAGTAAGGTCTTGTTTGTGATCATTTGGGTAAATGCCCAAAAGTGGATTGCTGGGTCATAGGGGAGCTCTATGTGGAGTCTTTTGAGGAACCTCCATACTACTTTCCAAAGTAGTTGAACAAGTTTACACTCCCACCAACAATGCAGTAGGGCTCCCTTCTGTCCTCATCCCCTCCAGCATCTGTTGTTATTAGAGTTCTTGACTATAGCCATTCTAACTGGTGGAATCTTAATGCTGTTTTGATTTGCATTTCTTTTGTGGCTAGAGAAGTTGAACATTTCTTCCTGTGTCTACTGGCCATTCTTATTTCCTCTTCAGAGAAAGTTCTCTTTAAGTCTTTAGCCCACTTATTTATTGGGCAGTTGTTTCTTTGAGGATGTGGTTAAATTTTTGAGCTCCAAGTATACTTTACATATGAGACCCTTATCTGTTGTTTGGCTAGTGAAGATCTTCTCCCAATCCATGGGCTTTCTATTGATCTTGCTAGCTATGCCCTTTGCCAGGCAGAAGCTCTGAAATTTCATGCAATCCCATTTGTCCAACCTTTCTTGGATTTGTTGTGTTTCTGGGTCTCTATTAAGAACATTTCAGCCTGTGCCAAGGATACCTAGGGTTTCTCCTATTCCGTCCTGTAATGTTTTCAGAGTGTCTGCTTTGACTCCGAGGTCTTTGATCTATTTGGGGTTGATTCTGGTGCAGGGTGATAGATAGGATATAGCTTTAGTTTTCTACAGGTGATTAACCGATTTTGCCAACACCATTTACTGAAGAGGCTGTCTTACTTCCATTCTATTTTTTTTAGCTCCCTTATCAAAGATTAGATGGCTAAAGATCTGTGGGTTAATTTCTGGGTTTTCAATTCTATTGCATTAGTCCTGAGGTCTGTTCTTGTGCCAGTACCAAGCTGTTTTGATTGCTATGGCATTGTAGTAGAGTTTGAAATTTGGTATTGATATTCCTCCAGCACTGTTCTTTCTGTTGAGGAATGTTTTTGCTATTCGGGGTCTTTTATTGTTCCATATGAATTTTTGGATTGCCTCTTCTATTTCCTTGAAGAATGAGGTTGGAATATTGATAGGCATCGCATTGAATTTGTAGATAGTCTTGGGAAGTATTGCCATTTTCGCGATGTTGACCCTTCCAATCCAGGAGCATGGGAGTTTTTGCCACTTTCTAAGTTATGTTTTGATTTCCTTTTTCGGGTTTTTAAAGTTTTCATCATAGAAGTCCTTCATTTCTTTGGTTAAGTTAATTCCTAGGTATTTTATTTTTTGTGGGGCTATTAGGAATGGAGTTGCTTTCCTGATTTCAACAGGAGAATGCATGTATCTTTCAAACAAAGTCTTTTCACATTTTTGTCTATACTCAAGCACTGGTCACATGGATAAAACCATTGAAGTTCACATAATGATAAAAAGAGAACATGACCTATTACAACTCTATGAAAACCACTAATATGATGAATACTAATATGCCATAACACTAGCAAGAAATCTTTTTTATGGGGTCTGGGAAAGTGGCTCAGTGGTAGAGCACTTGCCTTGCATGCCTGAGGCCCTGGGTTCGATTCCTCAGCACCACATAAGCAAAAAGAAAAAAGCCAGAAGTTGTGCTGTGGCTCAAGTGGTAGAGCGCTAGCCTTGAGCTGAAGAGCTGAGGGACAGCGCACAGGTCCAGAGTTCAGGCCCCACAACTGGACCCAAAAAAAAAAAATTTTCTTTATGTAACTTTGAACTAATTTTCCCAAGCAGCTAGCATGAACATTACATAAAGCTAATAGGGATATTAGAAAAGGCAAATGTCCATATTATTCTCCTTGGAGATACATTTAGCCTTTGATCCAAGATGCAGATGAAAATAATTTCCAGCTATTAAAACAAAACATGATATGCCAATCTTCTCCCAAAAATTATATCTCATTGAACCAATTTCCTCATGGTCACTTCATACAAATGAGCTAAGATATAAACCATGTAGTCATTATTCTTCAATACCCATAATGGATTTCTAAGCAGTAGTCAATACAAATGGAAATGAAATACATAAACAAGAAAATCAAATGAGCACATACATGGATTACAATTCCTGGGAAGAACATTTTATTCTTTGGCCAGGAGTTTAAAGACTTTAGATAATCAAATATTGCTCAAAGAAGTGAGAGTTCATATAAGGAGAAGCCACTGGAATAAGTTTCACAAATAAAACATACTGAAATATAAGATTTCATTGTAAAAATTTCTGATATACTATTACTTTATCCCGTATATAACTGCATTAAGCTTTTCCAGGTACAAATTATATACAAGACATTATCATATTTATATTATAATAGGGAAATGTATTAACACACCAACATAGTTTACATTAACTGTATTTTTCAGAAATGCTATAGAGGGAAGGGAACTTACCATCAAATTTCAGATGGCTCTCACATGTAATCTTAGCTACTGAGGAGGCTGAGACCAGACAATCATCATTCAAGCCAGCCCAAGCAAGAAAATTTGTTAGACTCCCCTCTCCAAGTAATCACCCAAAAGCTGAAAGTGGAGCTGTTGCTCAATGGTCAAATGTTAACCTTGAGCAAAAACTTGAGGATACTGTCCAGGCTATAAATTCAAGACCCAACACCAGCACCAAAAAATAAAAATACAATATGAATCCTGAGGAGACAGCATTATTGTCAAAGGACTCTGATAGTGGTGGGTGACATAGTTATTCATGTAACACTTGATGTAACTTTCCTTCTCCAGAGCTTCTTCATTGCATTTGTCATCTCTTTGTTTCTCAGAGTGTAGATTAATGGGTTGAGCATAGGGGTTAAGACAGTATAAAATACACTAAATGATTTATCAATAGGATAAGTCTTAGCAGGTCTTGCATATATGAAAATGCAGGGAATGAAGAAGCAGAAAACCACAGTGATGTGAGAGCCACAGGTGAGGAGAGCTTTCCGCCTCCCTTCCTTACTAAGGTTCTTTAGAGAATGCAAGATGACACCATAGGAGATGAGCAGGAGTGTGAAAATAATCACACACATCAGTCCTCCATTGGCCACCACTAAGATACCAGTGACATAGGTATCAATGCAGACAAGTTCCAATAAAGGATACATGTCACACATAAAATGATCAATGATGTTGGGGCCACAGAACGGGAGCCCATAAATCGTGATAAGTTGAATTATTGAGTGCAAAAATCCCCCAAACCAAGACACTACCAGCAACACAACACACACCCATTTCTTCATGATAACCAAATAATGTAAAGGCTTACAAATGGCCACATAGCGATCCAAAGCCATCACCAAGAGAAGAGTTACCTCTGATCCACCAAAAAGGTGTTCTGTGAAGAGCTGAATCATACAGAACTTGAAGGAGATGGTTTTCTCCCCAAAGAACATGTCTGAAATCAACTTAGGTGAAATAGATGATGAGTAAATAATATCGACAAAAGATAAGCTAGCAAGGAAGAAGTACATGGGTGAATCGAGGGTCTTACTGAGATTTACAGTCACAACAATGAGAAGATTTCCCAGAACTGTCAAAATGTAGAAGAGCAAAAAGATGACAGAAAGTACTTTCTGTTCTCTCGGGTTCTGAGTGAGGCCCAGCAGGATGAAGTAAGTAACGTTGTTCCTTGGTTCCATCTATTCTGTTTGTGATTCTGATTTCAGATATGCAAAGCAGCTTACCTATAAAACATTGCAAACATCCTTAGAAAAAATAAGAATCATAATTTCTAATCATTCACTATAAGTGATGAATAGAAAAGAGTGTGGTAGATGAATACAGTCTTAATACTCAATGAACATATGTGAAATAGGAACTGGGAAATTTGGTGTCTGGTAGGGAAATGGGTAGGGAAGTAGACCAATGGAAGGACTGTTGCAGATTAAGATGCATTGTACACACAAATGGACATAATAAATTGTAACCTCCTTGTAAAACCACTTATAGAATAAAACACCTGAAATAGAAAAGTAATCCACTTGTGACATACTACCTGCTACAACTATCTGGATTATTAAGTTGAATAGGACAATTTCTCCCTGCCTAAATGATATATGGACAATGATGAGTCCTGCTAAAAATCAATTCAACATACATCAGCATAAATATACTTTCTATTCTGTAGTATAGATTCCTAGTGCTAGAGTTTTTTAAATCACTAGAAACTGAGAGGCATTCTTTGAAGATAAAATAGTTAAATTTAAAGAAGTGACACAACAAAAGAGAATGAAAGCAACATTGCTTGATAAGAAATGTACTCAGTACCTTGCTCACGTAACTGTAACCCGTCTATACAGTATTTTCACAATAACATCTTATTTAAAAAAGAAAATGATAAAGGAATTCCATGAAAAGATACCTTGTGTATAGAATCACAAGTATAAAATGTGACACAGTCTAAATAGCTATGAAGACTCGGGAAAGATCTTTACAAATTCACATTGTATAAGCCATTATGAAAATATCTATAGAAAAAAATGTCCTCATAGTTGCTAGTGCAACTAGCACAATTACAATCATTCCATTGCTTTACAAGAACATTTTCCTCATTTCCACATTTTCCTACCACAACCAGGTTAGCATTCAATGCTTCTAGGAACATTCCTTTTATGATGATAGATGAGTTCTTTAAATCTATAGAAATCTTTTCTGTATCTCTCCTTTTTCCTTCTGAGCCTTCACAAGAATTGTCTTTCCAAATCAGTATTTATACCATCTAGCCAACTAGGATTTTCTTCCATTACTCCCCAAACATTTTCATCATCTACTTATTACCTAAATCCAGCAACATGCCCACATTTTTATATATTTTTATATGTTCACCACTTTCTAGGACCAAAAGCTAATACTTATTGATGGTGCTTCTTCAGAAAAGCAGAAGCTAAGTGATTGAAACAACAGAAATCAATGTAGAGACAATGTCCTCTAGAAAACTCTGAGGAAGGAACTATTCCAGATCCTTTACTTGGCTTGTATGTGATCAACTTCAGGTTTATGTGGCGTTCTACCTGGATTCAAATTTCCCTTCTTAAAAAATAAAAAATGTTGGGGTGGTGGGGAGAGAAGGGATGGTAGGGGATAAACAAAGGAGAAAGTGTACTCATTACCTTACTCATGTAACTGTAATCCTCTGTACACTATTTTTACAATAGAAAACATTAAAAAAATTTAAATGTCATTTGTCTGGATGCTGGTGGTTCATGCCTGTAATCCAACCTACTGAGGAGCCTGAAATATGGATAATCATGATTTGATGCCAGCCCAGCCAGAAGAGTTTGTGAGACTTCATCTCCAAAATGACCATCAACAATGGGTGACAATGTTGTCAGACACTTTGTATTCATATACTGTTTTGTAGAATGGGAACTTCTTTGTACAACTACTTAAAGATAATAATAAAAAAATGACCATCAAAAATGGCAGCTGATCAAGCAAGCCCACCAAGAACAAGGCTCTGGATTGAAATCTCAGTTCTAACAAAATCTTTAAAATACTTGATTAAGTCCCACCATAATAAATTTACATTAACTTGTCTCTGTCCAAACCCTGTCCTCAATTAATTCACATTATGATGTCTTAGAGGCTAGGAATTTAGCCTAACAATCAAGAGTGATGGAAGGTAAACAATAAACCACAATTGTTTCATCTGACACAGTGTATAACAAAGATCTTTCACATTATCAGATGTCAAACGTAGTCATTAAAACCTATTTGTAGTGTTGTAACATGGATACTTCTTCTTTCCCTTCTTGGTCGTTTCTTCGGTATTCTCAAAGCATTCTGAAAGCAGTGTCTTCATGCTTGTGTATCTTCTACTCACACTTCTGTGTGTCTCCTAGTCTCAAACTTTTAGCTGCATATAGACAACAAACATCTCTAATTGGATAGCCATTGACTATTTTTAAAATTTTTTCACAATAAATCTAATCTTGCAAGTTTAGCTCTACTCAACCAATAGTTCCTCTTTGCCTGTTGTTGTTCAAGACAATCTGTCTGTTTTTAAGTTTTTTTTTATTGTGAAAATATCATACTGAGGGGTTACAAGTACGTGAGCAAAGTAATAAGTACATTTCTTATCAAGCATTGTTGCCTTCTCCTTTGTTTTTCCCCTACCATCCCTGCCCTCTCATCTCCACAACTACACTCCCCCTCCCAAAGTTGTAAAGTTCATTTTTCATCATAGCATTTTGTACATTTCATTTTTACAATGGGTCCACCTGTCTCCCTATTTAAACAATTTGTTTTTTTCCCCTTCCCCTCCCCAAATTATACCAACATCAAATACAGTGAAAACAGGGGTTCTACAGGGGAGGGACATACAAAGCAACAAAACAATCACCTTATCAATATGCTAGAAACAATAGCAAGAAAGAAAAAAACACTTGTGTCTTTATCTTGGGGTTCATTTTGCCTAACATCATCTTATCAGACCTTTTCCACTCTTCTCAGACATATACTAGCTATTGCAAATAAGGGAAACCATTTTTAACTCCATGCCTCTAAAGTTACTTTTTCAATATAAATATATCCTGTGGTGACTTTTCATAATATATGACAAATATGTCCTTGTTACTATCCCTCACCACATTCTTTGTCTAATTATAGATACTTTTCCAAGTTGAACTACTTTCCTACTGAAAGAGCCAAAATAATCTTTCTAATGTTATTCAATTCACAGCCATCTCTTGTTTAAAAACCCTATAGAAGATTCTTACCTCATTCCTAGTTACATCCACTTATCCTTTATCAGATAAGATGCCAGGTGACTACAGTCCAGGCAACCCTCCCAAATTCACTGCTTGCAATTGTCTATGTTCACCTACTCTATCTGTGTTATTATGTTTCTAATGACCACATTTTTTCTTTCACTTAGACTTTGGTAAATGCTAATTTCAGAGACCACAAAAAATATTCCTAAACGCTAAACAATGTTAAATGTGTAAAGAGGCTCACAAATGCGCACATGTTCAATCTATATTCAAATGAGAAGTGGTTTTTAGAAGGCCTGTGTGGTGTCATTTTGTTCAAATAAGGCAGACTCACACTTCGGAGGCCACTGTCGTCTAACACCGGCGCACAGTCTATGCTGGATTTCAGAGCTAAGGAAGTAAGTCTTGGAACTGACATAAGGAATCTTGTTTCTACCTTAAGCCTTACATGCTCCAGACTTCTGTCTGGAGCATGTAAGGCTTAAGCTAGCTTTGTTTTCTTTCATTTTATCTATTTCCATAGCATACATTATAAAGAACTTGCAGCCACACTCTGCCTGCAGAAGTATTTTTTGCAACATTTAAATTGTAATGAACTCAAGCAATATTCTTGTCTATATAATGAAAAATCCACCCAGTTGTGAAACCTGGTTTTTTATTGCCAACTATTAAAGACATACCTTTTGGATGCCTTTTTACAGTTCAAAGACCTTTGCATGACAGTCTTAAAATTCTAGAAAAACCTCTCCCTTCTAGTAAGTACAGAAGTAAAAAACTTGGTATTCTCCTCTAAGGTACACACGTGAGATGCCATGGCCATGTCAGTCCATTCCCGATTGCATGCTTTTCCAATAGCATTACTTTTTATTAACTGAAAAACTGATTGCTTTTCAAGTTAAGACAATTTATCAAGATGCAAACAAATCCTAGTCCTCATAAAATGGTAAGAATTAGACTTATATGTCTCCCATAAATTCTTCTCTAGTCCATTCTCATAGTTATTATTCTTTAAACTAAAAAAATATTATCTAACTTTGTATCACATCCTTCTCTTACATTGGGGTGATCAATTACTTGTATTTGAGCCTGAAGAGGTCATTCTTCTGTCTTCTTAAGATCATACTTTAAGACAAATAAAGACTATTTCACCTTCTGGGATAATTATATCAGCTACAAAGAGGATAGCAACAGCTACCTGACAGGAGCACAGATCACTGAAGGTTTTATAATGTGTAGCCATATTGGTGATGAAGTTCTACTACTGGCATATGTCCAAGATGGATCCTGCCTTAATTAAATTCAATGGGATTTCTCATGAATTTTGAAAGCATATCTATAGGGGCTGGGAAGGTGGTTCAGTGATAGAATGCTTGCCTTCATGCATGAGGCCCTGTGTTCAATTCCTTGGGACTATATAAGCAGAAAATAGCTGGAAGTGGCACTGTGGCTCAAATGGTACAGTGCTAGCCTTGAACTGAAGAGCTCAGGGATAGCACCCAGGCCCAGAGTTCAGGGCCCATGACTGACTAAAAAAAAGCATATCTGTATGTAATGATATCATTAGCTCAATCATACATCTACAGTCAGGAAAATTATATAAGGAAAAAACAATATTAAGACCATCATAGGATGGAGCTGGGTGACTCAGTGGTAGAGTGTTTCCTTTGCATGCATGAGGCCATGGGTTCAATTCCTCAGCACCACATATGCAGAAAAAGCCAGAAGTGGCACTGTTGCTCAAGTGGTAGAGCGCTAGCCTTAAGCTGAGGAGCTAAGGGACAGCTCCCAGGTCCAGAGTTCAGGCCCCATGACCAATAAAAAAAAAAGAAAGAAAGAAAGAACATCATAGGATAATTGTCAGTCAAGAGTAAAGAATATCATCCGTGTATTTTGTTCAGTGAAAATGAGTTTATCACTTATTTTCCCATTTT